GCCATGACCCACAGTGCCCTCATTTACCTCCCGAATTAAAAGGGAGCACACCAACGTATTTCCTCTCTTACTCCTTGCATAGTCTCTCACACAAGGCTTCAGACGGCAAAGTTCATCATTAAACACAGATTTTCACCCCCAGGAAGTTCCAGAGGCCCAGAGAAAGATGCTATGAGCTCGAGCTCCTACAGTGGTTTCAATTACTGTATGCAAGGGACATTTAAACAAGCTTCCCTGGATAAATGAGAGAAAAGAGCCAGCACACTCAGCATGAGCAAAATAAAAAGCAATCTTCAGCTGGTGCCAGCCATGCATATTTTGAAAACCATCCCCTTCAGCCATCACTAACAAAAAGTCAGCAAAAACTTATTTTAGAATCTGAAAAGACAGAAATTTAAAGCATTTGGTGGCACAATCTGTTACTTAGGGACAAGCTCATTAAAAATGCAGGAGGACTATTTACTGAAGGCAAAATGCAGACATGCACTTTTGCATGTAGAGCAAGCACGTACTGAATGATAGGAACACCTTTCCTCCTGATTGGAATGGGAAGGAGAGCTGCTTTAATTGTGCTGATGGATGGATGGCTTTCTGAAAGAAGGTAATAATTGGAGAAGCCAGTCCAAAACTTGGCATAAACTCATAAGGCCAATGACTAAGAGACTGAATTCAACAAGAAAATTGCCATTGGGAGTTAAAACGAGCTTAGGAAGAACTAGGTAATGGACCCTAAGCTGCATGCACATGAGCAAGGGCAAGAAGTGTCTAAGTAGCAGTCTGAGCAGCACAACTCTGTGTTTGAGAGGTGATAAAGGAAGAAGAGCAGGGACCAGGCAACTTGAGTTTCAAAGGGAAATGCTACGAAATACAGAAATAGGAGCAGGAGAATCAGAAATCAAGAGTAGTGACACACTGGGAAGATGAGACTGAGGAAGACCAGTGCAACTGTCAACCCAAATCAGAGGGAAAGGAGAGGGGAAGGACCTAGAGCAGAGGAGGTTACTTATTCTCCTTTTTCCCCTGAAACTACTGCTTTGGCCTGACCAGCTCTGCAGACTGCAGTTAAAGGTTGTTAGGGAAACTCAGTTATTTGAGCTGGTGACTGATCTCACCATAGATTTATGTTGCTACAAATCTCTGACTTAAATCAAGTAGCTACTCCTCATCTTGATAGATCAGGAGCAAGCCCTTGGAAGTGAAAAGTGTGATAAGAGCATGAAGACCTTTCTTAAAAGACAAAGACAAGACCCTGCACAAAACCAGGCACTTGAAGCTCACCACTATGAATTCCGTTGCTACATGAAGTCATATCTCAGCCATTCCTTTCATTCATGGGAGCAACTCACTTGTTTGTTTCAAGACAACATATGTGCTGTAAAGTATCTGAGAGTAAATGCAATAACCATAAAATAATCATTACCAGACTAATATGCTTTGTAACTTCCTAAATCTTTTATATGGTGGCTTTAATGTCTGGTCTTCAGCACCCTGGATGTCCATGGCTCCTTGGAAATAGGTCTATAAATTTAACTTAACAAAAAGGAAAGCAAGGGAGCTGTCAAAAGGCATAAAATCAAGAGGTCCTGTCCAAAAAGAAAAAGGTGTTGGGGAGAGATTGGCAAATTGAAAAGGGGTTAAAGTTTAGGAGGCTTGCAAAAGTGAGTAGACCAGCTCCATAGCAAACCTGTATGACCACTGCACACATGGAAAAGAAGGAAGAGTGGAAGCTGGCTTCCCAGTCAAATAAAATTTTTTTTTTTGTGGTCAGAGAATTTATTGTGGCCTATCTCCAATATCCTACATGATTCAGAAGACTGAATATCGTTCCGAACTGCTCTGGCTTCCCCAAAACCAGCTCCTGAAAAATGAGATTTGTGACCCCAACACATAGCCCACTTGACTACCTCGCACTGCTTCCAAGCTTCCCATCTGGTGGCTAGAGAAGCATCCTCTCTGCTGGATAACTGGAGACACATACTAAGATTAATTCATTCAAAATAAGCCTAATAACAAAGTAGAAGTTTATAAAGAAGTCAAAGTCTCTTCCATATTGTTTGTTTTGCTCCTTTAAACGCTCCCAATCTGGCAAAGATGAAGGAACATTGGGGGGAAATGTATAGAGGGAAGAAAAAATGTCTTCTTTTGGTACAAGAAATAATGAGGATAAAATCTTAAAAAGATAATCCAAGAAGCCTTTATTTCTGTTTCTCTGTTTTGTTCCCTCCCCACCACTCCCTGTTCTGCTCCCCTTATAGAAAAGATAATAGAGTGTTTAACACATACGGTGTGAAAAGGGAATGGAAAGGAAATAAAAGAATCAGTACTCCTGGTGAATAATTTGGCTAGAGGAAAAAGACAGATACAGATCAGATTCTTTTGATATGTTAAAAGCATCCCAAAATGCCTTCGCTCTGGATGCTTTTACACAAATTATCTTTCATCATAAAAGTACAAAATACATATAATGGACAGCTCATCTCTCTCCAATGAATATGTAGCCACTAGCTGATAAGATAATAGACTAAACGCTGACCTGTCACAGACTTGACGATCATAAAAGTAGAGTTTAAAAAGTTGGTTCTCACGTCTCAGGCATTTAATGGGCAGGCACTAAGAGATGCTTCCAACCTTCAAACTCTTTTCATGCTATTCTGCCTTAAGAAGCACAGGCATAACTCTCAAAGTTATTGTATTTGGAAAAAGACACTGTTTATACATATACTTCTCCTACAACCTCAGTTACCAGGAACTCCTTCCCACTTAACCTTAGAATGACTTTTGTGTCACGTAGTTGTTCTGAAAGAAACAGATTAAAGATCCCTTTACTGAGTGCAGCAGCCCAATCTGGTTTATATTCTAATGGCAAGAGGCACCTGAGGCATCAGTTGATGGATAGGCTCCTAATAAACAATAATTATTATTGCAGTGTGCAAACCAGCTGCACTGCTGAAAACAGAGAATCAGAAATGGAAACTCTCCTACTGGTTTTATCCTTTCCTGACTCACCCCTGTCTTGCCATGAGATCCTTGCCTCCATTCTTCACTGTGCCACAGTGCCCATGAGAACCAGGCTTCCTATGTCTCCTTCCCGAGGCACTTTCTTCAAGGACTGGAAAGACAATGTATTTTTGGCCTTAATTAATCTAACAGGCAACTTCATTCCTGTACATAAACCACACCTATCTGCTATGTTTTCCCCCTATGCTGCAAAACAGCCTGTATCCAATAGCTCGATCCTTCTCTTTTCTCAGTATCTCCCTTTGCAATCTTACAGGGTAGAAAATACTTCTGTAAATAATACATCAAGGGAATTCATTTGAACTGGGCAGAACTCATTACAGAGTGGTTTTACATAGCTCAGCATCCTGTCAAATGCCACATTAAGATTACCTAGTTATTGGTAAATAGTGTATTTTAAATCAACAGCCAGCCTGAAAGGGAACAGCATGTAGTACTCGGAGCTCATAACTGATAGGTCTGGGTTCCTGTTACAGTCCTACTAGTAACCCACCATGGGATCTCTGGAAAATCACTGACCTTCACTATCACTATTTTACACCCTGAAAACCAGGGAGATTAGCTGAAAAATTAGTTATTAATGGGGTTCTAGCAGCAGCCTCATACAGGTAATAGCATCTTTTCCTGTTATATTAACAGAGGCTCAGTTCTGTAGAGGAATCTATGTGCTTAGTTCCACTACAGAAACTACATGAAAACAAGCACCTTGTGTGGACCTGAGTCCTTCAAAAATAGCTTGCATGCAGACAGTGCTAGACCATACCAGTGAGCAATACACATGCTGCCTTAAACAGAAAGAGGCGTGTGTTGTGTGGCACTATGAATGGTGAAACTGGAGATGTTTCTTGTGATCTTCTACATACACTGAAGTCTGTTTACCTAGAGCCTCTCAGTTATAATGTACTTGCCGCAACAGTGGCACATCTCTAAAACTTCTATTTATTGTGCTCAGGAATTACCACAGTGTGACTCCAAATCAGTCCTATTTGAGTTAAAACCAGAAGAACAGAAAGTGATTCATTTAGGCAGTGTTAAGGACGAACATGCCAGGAGGGCAAAAGCAATGTTTTAATTATTTTATGCCAAATAATCAGAAAGCACAATATGCCTGAAATCACCTTTAGCAGTCTTCTGGAATATATAAGAGCCTGGTCAAGCTCAGGCTGAGTGATTGCTAGGTGAGAGCTTACATGATCGCGCCACTGGCTTGTTAAGACACTTTCACAAAGGCCTTTTGATTTCACCTGCACCAGCAGCTTTCATGCTGAAAGGTTACACTTAACAGTCAAAGAGAATCTATGAGCTCAATGCAATATGAGCCATTTCTTAGTCACAGAAGGAAAAAGACAGAGATTTCCCCCCAGAACCAGCAGGGTATCACTCAACACAGAACCAGAACCTGAATGCAGCATTAATAAGAGTATCAAGTACATTGGTCTATAGTTGGTGGGTTTGTGGAGCTCTGTGAAGCCCTAACCCAAGAGATATAAAAAGGCAGACAAAGGGATGAAGCAGTGGCCTCTCTGCAGATGAGAACAGAGAGGTATATTCACCCTTGGGAACCAACTTGTTGGAGGGACAGAGGATTTGCTCAATGTTGTGAAAGAAGTTAGTATTGAGGCAGCAGTTGCCACTGTTCCTCCATGACTGTCCCTGGTGCTGCTTATTCCTATCACAGAGCTGGGGCAGGGGACACTTCTCTGGTGCCCTCCATCGCTCAGGGTCATTACTCAAGCAAACCAATTTCTCTGGCTTAATTCAGCCTCTACAGCTGAATTAATGGAATCCACAGGTTTCTGTAACTGGAAATGATGAGAGGCTAAGTCCAGTCTAGAAATGCAGCACCTTTCTTCACAATGGCTGGACAGAGTCCCACCAGACTGTTAATCTGGAAGTGCTTCAAAAGGGTGAAGGTCTGCTGGTAGGTACTTTGGAATTCACTCCCCACCTTTTTCTGCCAGATCCTGGATTGCATAACTTACTCTGAGTGCTGAAATGCCCATCTTTCTCATTCATTCACTTGGGCAGGGATGAGGATGTGGAACCTCTGTGTTTTGCCACAGAGTTAATACGGTGGCTTATGCATTGCTCTGCTGTCATGAAAGCAGGCTGATACTTCATGCTTCAGACTGTATAATTCAACTACTGTCAAACATCAAAATCCCAAGTATAACAGAACCCTGTAAAGAAAGGGAATTAAATGACATAATATATGGAATATGAGCAATGCTCAAGAAAGGATAAATAAAAGCGAAAGAGGCACAATCTTCCATTGAGGCCTGAAACCTATGCTATGTAGCAACCTAGAATGGTTACTTGAAGAAAGAACAGAAAAGCTCGTCAGGCCCAACATGATGCTTCTTCCACCTTCCAGCTTCTGGCAGTCTGCCATTTAGGGATTTCCTGAGCCAGAGGTTGCATCTGCATCAGTGTGTTTAATAGCCCCTGCTGGACCTATTTTCCATGAATTTGTCTAATTGCTTCTTGAATCTATATCTGTCAGCAAGAAATTCCACAACTGAATTATGCACTATGTGAAAAAGCACTTCTATTTGTTCTGCTCTAAAGTAGCTGCTTGAAAATTCCTTTCATTGCTCCTTAAATCTTATGCTATAACAGGGGATAGTAATTTCCAATTCACTTTTCCCACACCATTTATGGCTTGTCACCTGTGTTACTTGTCTCTCTTCCAAGATGAACTGCCCTATTATATGTAATCTCTTCTAGGAGATCTCTTCCTGCCCTTTTCTGTATCTTCTCTTTTTCAATCATATCCTTTATAGGAGAGGATGAGCAGGACTTTATGCTTGTTTAAGACATGGGTGGACCATAAATTTGCAAGATGCATAAAGCTATTTTCTATTTTGTTGTCTGCATCTCACTTTAACATGCCTAACATTGCATTTTCCCTCTCTGGCTGCTGGCAGCTCGCTTCTCTCTGGTCTGTTTATGCTCTAAGCTCTTCAGGGTAAAGCTCATTTCTGATCATGAGTGTGTACAGGTCCTGCAGCACAACAGGGAGCTACAAACCAGACTTTCTGAAGGTGGACACTGGTAACGGGTTTGTCTGCAGAGAAACTGAAGGGCTATGGCTGCTTGCTGATGGTGCCTGACAAGAGGAAATGGTCACACTGGCCACTTAACTGCAGGGTTAATCCCAAAACTGCTTTCTACATACAAATGACCTGATAGTAAACACTTCTCTTTTCGTAAGGTACTCAGCAATGCATAGTAAAAACCCATTATGAGCAATTAATAATTGCTTTAAAACTCCATTTCTGGCTCAGGAAATCCTGAGCCCCTGCTAACGTATGCCAAGGGGGATGCACCAGGGAACAAGTGCCATATTTTCATCCTTCTCAGAAGCTCTGCTGTTGCTAACAGATAAAGGAATAGATACATTCTTGGTTTCATTTAGCTTGTCTGTCTATGTATGTATAATTTAAACCATCTTAATCACAGTTGCATCCCATAGAGCCGACTGTTTTGCAAAGCCAGGCATGAAGCAGTTCCTATCTGAATACATTTCATTTAAGAAGGCACAAAAAAATCCAGACTTTTGTGCACTGTGGCCAAATACATCTCTTGTTTGCTATGGAATTCATCAGAGCTATACTTCTCTTCCACTTCCTGACCAGCCAAGCAGTGCTTAACATTCCACTCAAGAATCTTTGTTGGCCAAAACTCAACCCTTTACACCCAAATGTTCTCACAACCACTGCTTTTATAACCAGCACCCTCTACTCTCCCCTACTCATCTCCACCATCCACAGACTGTACCTGCACCTTGCAGAGCACCTGCAAAGAGAATCTGAATTAATTTTTAGAACAGATTAGCTAAAATGCATTGAATATCTGTGTGAACATATTTATTCAGAATTAAAGTAGGCCTAATTCAATTTAACTTACTTCACTCGCAAAGTGAATTAAGGAAAATGTAATTGAGGCTACTCAAATTCTGATTAAGGGTCTTGACATCTGCCACAAGTGAAGCTGTATTATCCACAGGTTGTTAATTCACCACCAGAAGTGTGGAAACACAACCAATTGCACAGCAAAAAAAAGGAAATCATTAGTCCCCCAATTGCAATAACCACCAAAGTGTATTTATGCTAAATACATATTTAATTTGGGAGGCAACATTTCTGCATACCAAACCAGGAAACAGACTTCCCTTGCTTAGAACAATCCCATTTTCCAGTTATTTTTTTTTGTAACAGAATTATAATTGTGTCAGAATTCAGAAAAGTTGGTTAGGGGAAAAAGAGATAAAGTTTCATCACAGTGAGTGCAACAGCAGTCAGATTTTCCTTGCTAACTCATGGTTCTGTGAGTATCCATGTGGGCATAGTAAAAAATGCCTTAGAAAATCACCCCAGTTCACACAATACACCACAGAAAACCCATGTGTGCCCTGATGTGCTTTGCTTTTCCCTATCAATTCGATAGCTGGCACACTTGTTTTCAGCTGGTGGCAGAATGGTAAAACCTCAAGCTCTTGCTGCCTTGATGCTCTGCCTGTTTCAGGCCACATCTGTGAATAACTCTACTGCTATTGACAGTCAGAGGCATATGGATGTTCTTGAGCAGCCTCATTGTCTCAGCTCTGTGTTCAAGGGTGCCACCCCTACACATGACAGAATACTTCCTGTGCTGTTGGTGAAGATGCACATGCTAGATAGAACTGAAAAAGCTTTTTCTTCATGATCTGCTTTCACTGTATCTCAAGAGTTCTGTTATTTGGAAAATCAAAGTCTATTACACTTTGTGCATTATTCAGTTCATTCCATGCCATTATTATGCTTTTGCGTGTGTGTACAGCAGCAGTTATTTACAACTGAACTGTGAATCTAAAACTTAAAAGCCATTTTCTAGCTTATGCTTGACTTTCCTGTTGACAACCATAGCAGAAGTAGAATTGTTAGGGTTATTAGCTCAACCTGGGCTTAGGGAGATCAGCAAGTGCCTGAATAAAGAGAACAGATCCAAAGCAGCAAAACATCGTGTGAAAGCAAAACAAGATAGTGGCCAAGGGAATAGGTACCTTCTTTAGACTGTTACTCAGCCTAGTAATCCTCCCCAGCTTTCTCCACAGTTCTGCAGGTATGTGAAGTCCTTGTGATCTTTGGCCAAGGCTTTTGTTGTCCAAGTCCTAATTTGTGCTGTTTATATTCAGACAGGAGGAGCATGGATGATTCTAGAAATAAATGAGAAGGAAAACTGTGATGTTTCCCATGAAGAAATCCAAGGTCTCTTCTGGATCAACTTCAAACCCAATAATGAAGGACTAAAAATCACTTTTTGTTGTGTATCTGCATTTTTTCTAACTTTATGTTCTAAGCCTTTACAAGGTTTGACACTTGTTCCTTCCTGTACACCTTACCCCAATAGCTGCACTGCCAGTGGAAATTTCTCCACAGTCTCTAATATTAACACTGCACATGTTGAGAACACGGGTTTTGGTCAAGAAATTTGCTTCTTCTCCCTTCCTTCTGCTGGATTTCAGTCAGACAGAATTGCACTGTAAAATCAAGGGTAATTTCATAGGGTTTATAAGAAACTTTCAGTAGAAATTTGGAAGCTTCTTGTCTTTCCTGCAGAATTTCTTCTCACAAAGACATTAAAGATAACCTAAATCTAACTCGAAGTCACCATCTCAGCCTGATGGGTAAGAAGTAGCAAGCTCTATACCAGCAGCTCTCCCCGTCTTGTTCTTACCTGGAATTTCTTGCCTGACAAAGTGATCAAGGCTTCAGCTTCAGGTAACTCACAGAGAAATAATATGCAAGAAAAATACAATTGTAATGTCTTCTACCAAAAATGATGACCAGCTGTGCCCTCTGTACTGGCGTTATTAGTTCATTACGTTCAGATAATGGGGAAGTAGCTTTGCTGTCTGCTTGTAACTGAAGTAGACTGGAGTAGTGAGTTCAAAAGTGACAGGGAAAAAAATAAATCCAAGAATTCAACTGAGAAGCTTACTGGAAAAGTGAGGCTGAAGATCTAAATGCAGGAGGTGGATGATTCAGTAATGAATGGAAGGCTCATTCTGACAGCTTGGGCTGCCATCCAAGCTAATTTGTTTCCAAGCCTTCAGTTTGCCAACTGAAGTGGCTGAGAAATAATAGGCTCCCAAAAATATTTCTAAGGAAACACAATGCCCATTATCACTGAAGGAGAAAGAATCTGCACGTTTCAAAGAGGAAAAAGAAATTTGAGATCTGCCAACTTTGGCCAGTTCCAAACGACACAGGAAGGAGCAGTTCCAATGTAGTGAAAGGGAAGAAGTGGAGTATTGTTAAATAAATTCAAAGTGCCCATAAAAAATAGACACAATAAATAGAAGGATGTTTCTTTCAGAGAGAGATGATTTTATGGCTGAACCCATGCAAGCAGCCTATGATAAAGAGTTTGGGGCATAGGAAAAAATGGAAATTAGATTGGTAAAGAGAACTATAGTACAGAATAGAATGAAAAATAACGAGGTATCTCTTTAGGTTTGACTTGGTCATCACAGAATTTCATATAAAGCAGTTGGATATTTTATAAACATTAGAGACTGAAAAATTCCCCCACACAAACACTTTGTAGCTCTCACTAAAGCCAACAGCAGGAAGGAATGTCTTGTAATTGTCACCAGAGGTTAAGCCTTGGATTCCCTGTCCTTCCAGTCACACAGCATCTGTATGATCTCAGCCAAGACACAACATGTCTACATCGAGCACTATGCAAATAAGGAGTTAGCTTTTGGTGCTGTTAAGCAGAAAGAGATTTTGAAGTGTTAAAAATCACTTCATGGCTACAAGAAATCCCTATGGAAGTCGTATACTCTGTCACCGCAGATTTTTATGAAGAAGCTTAGACATGGCTGGCATACATATAAAAAGTTTTTGTTTGATTAATTTATGATATTACAAAATGGCTATTACTTATGAAAATATTTCCTTATTACAATTTTTTTTTACCTATGGGTACAAAATTCCAATCTGATCTGCTTTAAGAGCTGCTCAGCAAAATACTGTTAGCCTTCAGGTTAGGTTTTCCCAACACTCAGCAGCTGCAAAACTCACCCTTCTCAGATGCTACACACTCGATGCTACAAACATCCTCTTTTGGCCAGCATTGTGCACAAGAGCAAACTGACATTTTACTAAGAAACTGGTCAGCCTTTTGAGTGATACCATCTCTGTGATACCCCAACAACACAGACTATAGAAACAGCTTTTTCAGCCTCCTAACCATCTTCCTGATTTGAAACCTTATTTCTCTAAGGAATGTTCAGCATGCATTTTTAAGTGAATGAAGGAAGAATGGGACTACTGCAATTTTCTTGCACTAGACAGGTTTCTAAGTCTCAAGTGGTTTTAGATGCATGTTTTGTGGTAGATGGTATCAAGGACCATTCCTAATAGACCTATACAGGTACCCACTAACTTCATTTCCACTGGGAAGGGAATCTAGCACTGAGGGTTATTCTTTCTAATACAATTGCACTACCAGACTACTTAATTAAATGTGCAGTCAAAGCTAACATGTTCCCTCAGGGTGAATCACAACTGCAAAGGGAAGGTAAACCTGCAACTTATGCAGCCATACCAAGCTGAGCTTCCACCTCATGAGTATCAGTAGCAACAAAGCTACACCTGAGCAGGCTTCACTGTAGACTGTATCACCAGATATATATACACACAACTGTGTCACCTCTATGTTTTTTACAGCAGCTCGGTTGAAACTAGCTACAGCAGAATCAGGGCCAGCACTAGATTCATGAAATATTTGGGAAGACAAAATAAGGAGTCCCTTCCCCTTCAGTCACTCAGTGAATTTCTACCTAACTTAGTTTCAGAGCCTTTATAATTGTCCCTGTTGCTTGCCCCTAAAGCCAAGAGTGTTTCCATGTGCTCATTTGCAGCAAAGGTACACTTTTAATAAGTATGCACTGTCATACCTTGTGGTTTTGTCATGTCAGTTGTTTTCATGGTTGGTCACCTCTCCGCAGCAAAACCCAAGGGTTTGTTCAATACCTTGCAAATTGATTCTTCCTCATGAGAGGATACTGTCTGGCTACCTCTGAAACAGAAATAACCATGTTCCCAGAGGTGACGCTGTTTGTGTTTCCTCAATAAGCTTCATCTTTGCAATATTCTGTTATTGGAAAACCAAGTATTTTAAGATACCAACCCTTTGACAGAACTCTGGCAAGGCAGGTGTTTTGCTGGTAGATGAGCAGTATCCTGACACACTTAAACAGATTAATATTTGTGAATTTTGACATAATTACTGATTTCCTCAACAGATTTAAAGTCTAAGTTTATCTTCATGTTAATCCAATTTCATGCCTAGAACAGAGCAAGCACAACAGAATGTCTTTTGTAACCTTCTGATATCATTAATTATTGCTACATTGGGAGTTACAGCATGGAACAAACAGGTTTTTAAATGGAAATCATTTGTCTCTCAGCAGGGAGACTCAACAGTTTTATTTCCTTCAACGCCAAGCTGCATTCAAGTAATCTTGTTCCATGGTGATCCTCCCTCGACAGCCTGCAAGTCAGTGGTGAAATCCCATCTACTTTGCCGCTGGATTGGTCAAATATGCTGCCCATTAGGGGAGGTGTCTATTTCCTCTCCTAATTGCGGAGGAAGGGTTTTCTCCATGTTAAGGCCACGCTTTCCCCAAGCTCTGGGCATTTGGTCAGGTTTCCTGGTGATTTTCCACAAAAGGAAATCCCCTAACTCATTACAAAAAAAAATAGATTAATTGACCGGTTCAGTAACAACCTGCCCCAGGACCCAATAAACTTTACAAAGGGTACATTCCAATTACGACTGGGCTCAGCATGAACTGATAAGTAAGCCAGCATGATCCGTCTCCAGCATTAAGGAGGTTTTTTTCCCTTTTCCCCCATTAATTTAACTCTTTCTTGGCACTTGTGGATTGACTAATTTCTTACTGTCCCTTTCCCTGTGAGTGTTAACCCTGCTGAACGACTCACAGCAATGTGATCTAACAGGTTCCATAAAAGCAGCCACTGGTCTACAGCCACTTTCTAGGCACTGTTGTGGCCTTACAAGAAGGGTTAGTCAGAGCACTGCCTTCTTCAACACTTTGCCTGGTGTCCTAAAACAAATACAGATCTCAGACCAGGACAGGGAAGAGGGAAAGTGACCTTCTCACAGCAGAAACATCTAAGAAAGCAATTGGAACCACTTGCTAGCAGAGCACAGCTACAAGCCTGCCTTCACTATGTGAGAGGGTTGGGAGAGAAACAGGATCATTTGGTAATAAGCATAATTGCAACAGCAGAAGGAAATAGAAGGCAGACATCAAGTTAGGAAGACAAAACAAGTTTTTGGCTACAAAATGTTTGCTATATTATGCTCTCATATGATAGTCTGCCATAGCATTAGATAGCCTGGCTTGGGTGCCAAACCTAAAGTGTTCCACAGCACTGAACACTACCGATGCAAGGCAGCCTTATTCACAGAAGCTTATTGATAAAACATTTGGTGCTCAGCAGACTAGTCTGTAAAGTAAATTTACACACCTGCCTGGTAAGTAGTGCTACTTTTAACACATAAAAATGCACAGAAATCTGTACAGAAGACACTTAAACTGTTTGGACTCACATCTACTTCTGCTCAGATCCAGAATATCATTTTCATACATTTATTATGCCTTGCCCTGCACTGTATTTCTTACAGGAACAAGAATAGCTGTAATTATTGTTGTCAATCAAAGTTTCTCTGAAGTCCTGAGCTTTACTGTTTCAATAACTCATTTTTACCAGTGGCAAATGTCCTCAACAAACACTAGAGCCTAATTTGCAGTTTGGTTCCCTTGTCACTTTCTGAGTCATCTTGGTGGAATGCTGTGAGGCAAGCGATTAGTCTTAGGACTTCTTTTCATCTTCCCTTTCTTTACATCTGAGAGGTGTTAAGAAGTTTCCTTTCCACAGCTCAGGCACATCCAAGGTGTACTATAGGTACCGAAGGTGCATTGAAATACAAAGTTTATTCTACTTCAGTACAAAGAGAATACCTGATAAACTGTTCCAAAGTCAGCCTTAGCACATGCAGGTGCAGCTGTTATTGGTTTCACTGGAATTACAGTTACTTACAACTGGTGCTGGATTTAGCCCCTCACAAGTAAACCCTTCAGCATCACATAGGGCTCAACTGTGATTGCAAACCCATTGGTATAAATCAGAAGTAATTCTACCAATGATGCACAAGCCTCAAGGTAAACATCAGCCTCCCAAAACAGCTGAGATGCCAAAAATAAACATGATACAGTGCTGATGGATTTATAGTTAACTGACAGTTTCCTCTTCAGATTCTTAATCAGGTGTCACTGAGAGGTGCTAATATAATTAGGGATGAGATATGGATTAATAGGAAGAAAATATCATAACCTCACTCTTACAATAAAGCAGCCCGTATGCTATACTTACCTGCAAACTGCACCATTCTTCTGGTAGCATGACATTTGCTAAAGCAAAAGCCTGTTGATAATTCTCTATAGTCCTATATAGCACTCTGCCATGGCTGCTCTTCAAAAGGCCATATTTATCCCCTGGGAAATATAGCTGTATTAATATGACATTTTGTCACAAATTAATCTTAAACAGGGGTAATATTTTTGACACTGAGTTGAAACTGGAACTAAAAGGCAGTTCAGATGGTTAAAGTGGCAATATCCTGTAGCAGACTTATATTCCCTGAGATAATACTGTTATGGTGTAAGTACCAATGTACAGGGATGTACCAAGGAAGAGAACTGTGCAAGTCTTTCTTCATTTTAACAACACACGGGATCATTGGCCTTCTACTCTTTGTTACAGCTGGTAGTATAGCAATGCCCAGCGATCCCAAACACCAGAGCCTATGGTACTAGGTGCAGTATAGAATAACAAACCTTTTGCTAAGGAAAAGCAGCCAAGACAGACTATCAGCACCTCATCTACCATCATGATGGGCTGCACGGTAGAAAAGTAGACAGGTAGTTTAAAAAAGATCTAAAAAACCCCACTAATTTCTCATTAATGAGATTAAAAGTGGCCTAATCTGGCTTTTAATTGAAGTCCCATGGCACGAGTCAGTTGTGACGAAAGGGATTCCCTGTGATGTGCTCTCTTTCCTGCTGTGGAGGTTCCCAGGCTCTGTGCAGTTCATCAATGCCAGGCTAATTAACACAATGTAATCTTGCCACTGACACCCATTTCCCAACTCATTTTCACAAAGCTTCCACTATTACAGGAAATCAGGGGAAATTCATAATACAGACTTCCATAGGAGCTGACCCTGTTATACAAAGGATGCTCTTCACCTTTTTTATTCCATTCCTCCATACTGCATGATGCTGATGGTCACCAAAGATGACAGGTGATTTGGGGTACCCAAATACTACCTTATGGGCACTTCACTGTACATCTCAGCAGTCCTTCACCAATTGCATGTCATTTGCCTTTAATGGGATCATTTTCATTAAGACTAATGTCTCCTCCCTGGCTGTTTAACTCAATTCCCTCCTGAACGTGAAGGCTGCAGGCAGAGGCCAGCCAGAAATATTTGTGTTCTACAAAAGACTGAAATACCTACAGTTCTGGTCTGTTTAACATCTATCTTCTGAGATGCGAGGTGAAGCCTGCTGACCACTAGCAGTCATTAAAGATCCTATAGCACTTTTTGAAAGAGCAGAGGGTATTATTAACTCCAGGATCCTGGCCATATTCCAGTTTGGATAATTACATTCTACCACACTAAATTTCCCCCTGCAGTTTCAGTTGGGGAACTTCTGTTCTTCACTTCCACTTTTAACAACCAGAGCAAAGTGTTGCTTGCCCTGAAATGCCAACACATTCCAGTCTGGAGCTGGGATACAGGACTCAGCCCACAGGTAGACATTCTGCAAAATGCTCTGGGACTTGTTAGTAAGGAGGTGCACAACAACTGATCTGGAACACCATAAAGCCAGAGCTCCAACCTCAGTGATACCGCAGGTTGATCACAACACTCACATCTTGCTGGGGTTTATTGCTGGCAAATGCAATCCACGTGAGAGGTCTGGGTATCTACCATTGATGGCCTGAAAGTCTCCAGGGTGGACCAGGAGGTTTTGCTGGTAGGTGTTTTATTAACTGCTCAAGTGTAAAAATCAATTCAGGTCTTTCTACTCCTCAGTAATCATATGGTTGTACTGAGTGTTCACAAGTTTTTAGGTAACAATTGGATCTTCTGGAACTAGATAGTAAATACAAGCATCCCTATTTTCTGTATCAAGCAACACCAGAAAATACCCGTCTAAGGGCAGGATTTCTTACTTGAACAGGGATCCATGTTCCAGCTGAGTCACTTGCCCCTTTTAAGTACTATTAGCTAAGAATGAAATGCATCTGTAGATCAAACTTAACTATTCTATGATTCTATGAGCCCATGGATTTCAGGATCAGGAGTCATAGGGGTACCATTTTCATGACCTAGAGAGGGGAGGGAACAGAACAAGACAATGCGAGAGTGGGAAGCACATCTGTAACTCTGTTGAAAGAGGCAACCCACCGCCTTTTTAAAGGTTCTTTTGATTGCTTTTCATATGAAAAAGGTTCCCAGGAAATCTAAGTCTGGGACTGAGAAATTACGATAGCTGAGTGGACCGATGCACTGAACTATTAAAGAAACCTTGAAAATGCTATTTCTGTGCTCATATGAGAGCAAACAGACAAAATTCTCTTCCCTGAATTCCTTCGGCTTAGCATAAGAAAGATGATAGGCTGTAGGTTCTGTTGCTGCAGGCAACTGATGAGGGACCTCTTTGATGTGCTTTGATTCTGTAATTCAATGATATTTGGTTCCAGCTCCACTTTAAAAAAAAACCCAAATCCTTATTACCATAGGGAAAAACATTAAGGACACTTGCTTGGAAAACACTTGGGCTTATGTTAAGAGCTCTTATTCAAGATCAGAAAGTTTTGTTTCCTGTATTGTTCTCTGTCCTTTGAGCTGGTCACCTTGACTGCAAACCTGGACACAGGTACACTCTCCTGGGGTAGCACTTTCCATCTTTTAGAATG